AGGGAGGGAGGTAGATAGATAGATAGATAGATAGATAGATAGATAGATAGATAGATAGATAGATAGATAGATAGATGGATGATAGCAGGTAGATAGATAGGTAGATAGATAGAGATAAGAGAGGGGAGGAGGGAGGTGGGTGGGTGGATGGATGGATGGATGGATGGATAGATATGAGGGAAAGGGAGGGAGATAGATAGATAGATTGATAGATGGATGGATGGATGATAGGTAGATAGAGATAAGAGAGGGGAGGAGGGAGGGAGGGAGGTGGATGGATGGATGGATGAGAGGGATGGAGGTAGATAGATGGATGGATGGATGGATGGATGGATGGATGGATGGACGGACGGACAGACAGACAGACATAACAGAGGGGAGGAGGGATGTAGATAGGAAGATGGATGGATGGATGGATATGAGGGAGAGGGAGGGAGGTAGATAGATAGGAAGATGGATGGATGGATGGATAGGTAGGTATGTGAGAGAGGGGTGAGGGAGGGAGATAGATAAGTAGGTAGGTTAGAGAGAGATATGGGTTGGTGGTTGAGCAGGTGGGTGGACAGATGAGAGAGATAGATAAATAAGAGAGGATTGATGGAGACAAAGACAAAGAGAACAACACTGGGTGGACAATTCTCTTCTTAGCAATTATCTGGAATCATCCTTGTTGCCTTCACAAATCAGAAGGGATACAGACACAGACACACACACTCTCTGTCTCTGTCTCTGTCTCTGTCTCTCTCTGTCTCTCTGTCTCTCTCTCTCTCTCTCTCTCTCTCTCTCCTTGCTGCTCCTTTTGGCCACATGCAAACCAACTCTATGAGCTGCTTCCTTCCTTCCTTCCTTACTTCGGGGCTCCCACCTTGCCATCTTCATGGTAAACAAAAATATTCCTTGTGCTGTTGTCCTTCAAGTAAGTGATCTGCAGCCCGTGAGGGTTTCCAATTTTCTCGGGCTGGAAGGTGGCGTTGAGATGCTCAATTTTCATAATCGCTTTGGGCTCTTTGGCCTGGCGAGGAAAACCACAACAACAACACATTAGCCACAACTTCAATGTTGGAAGGACTTCATTGTATCTGTATCTGTACATCCTGTACACAGGGACTCGCCCCCCCCCCCAAAAAAAAATTGGGAGAAGTAATGTTGTAATCCATCAGGAATTAATGAAAGGTCGGGATTTAAATCGAAGTGACCAACCTTGGCAACTTTAAGACCTCTGGACTTCAACTCCCAGAATTCCCCGGCACATTCAGTAAACACAGAAAAATGATTAGAGATGATTAAGGATGGTTAAGGGACTGGAGACTAAAACATATGAAGAACGGTTGCAGGAACTGGGCCTGGTTAGTCTAATGAAGAGAAGGACCAGGGGAGACATGATAGCAGTGCTGCTATATTTGAGGGGCTGCCCCAGAGAGGAAGGGGGGGTTCAAGCTATTTTCCGAAGCATCTGAAGGCCAGACAAGGAATAATGGATGGAAACCGAACAAGGAGAGATTCAACTTAGAAATAAGGAGAAATTTTCTGACAGTGAGAACAATCAACCCATGGAACAGAAACTGCAGAGGTTGTGGGAGATTCATCACTTGAGACTTTCAAGAAGAGATCGGACTGCCATTTGTCAGAAATAGTGAAGGGTCTCCTGCTTGGGCAGGGGGGGTTGGACTAGATGACCTTCAAGATCCCTTCCAACTCTGTTAATCTGTAAAGAACAGAAGTTGCCTTCAGATGTTGTGGGAGCTTCATCCCTGGAGGCTTTCAAGAAGAGACTGGACTCCCATTTGTCAGAAATAGTGAAGGGTCTCCTGCTTGAGTGGGGGGTTGGACTAGATGACCCATAAGGTCCCTTCCAACTCTGTTAATCTGTTAAAAAAAATATGGGAGATCGGTGGATAGATATCCCAGACAAATTAAGTTGCTTCTGTTTTTAATTGCGACTGACCTCAGCAATGCAAAGAGTCTTTTAAACTTTCCAAGAAAAGGATCACAACAGGACTGTTGTGTGTTTTAAATTATGCATTGTTATGCTTTGTTTTTTAATTTTTTTGTCTGTATCCCCCTTCTCTGGTTTGAGTTGTGAGCCGCCCTGAGTCCCCTTCGGGGGGAAAGGGCAGCATATAAATATAATAAACAAACAAACAAACAAACATTTTTAAAAAAACATTCAGATGGAGCATTATGAATTCTCGCTTCCCCAAACATCATGCTCTTTTCATTCCAAAAGATCCCTTATCACCTCTTTGCTCTTATTTCTGGCTCCAGATCCCCAGAAGGTCCAGAAGTAACAATCCTTATTTCTTTGCCAACTATGGGAAGGAGTTGAGTCATAGAAATGACCCAGCAGGTGTCCTTTTTAAAATGTTAGGAGCTATCTCAGGACCTTGGAGATCACCAGCCATGATGCCAGTTGGGGAATTCTGGGAGTTGAAGTCCCCATATTTAGTTACAAGTTTGAGAAACGCTGGACTAGACCCTTCCATGTAGATGGCCTTCTGTCCGAGACGCTGTTACTTTTTTTTTTTTTAATTAGGGTTTATAGGCCGCCCTTTTCCCTGAGGGGACTCAGGGCGGCTTACAATCACCAGGGAGGGGGAGCAAATCAAAATAAACAATATACAAACAAAATAAAGTAATAAAAACACAACTTGCATTCAACATTCAACACTCGGGTGGGGCAAATTAGAGACTTATCCCCAGGCCTGGACGGTGGTGAGGGTGCGTATCTCGATGGGGAGATCGTTCCACAGGGTCGGAGCTGCAACAGAAAATGCTCTCCTC